CTGAACATGGCTTCTAGAGACTCCATTATCTCATAAGCAGTCTCCATCTCCTCATGCTTCTTGCGAAGCACATCGCTCATACTGGCTAGCATAAAGCACTTGGCTTTGTTGTTGGCCTTAATCCAGCGATCATAAGGCTCCCTTACGGTTTTGGATGCGTTTGCCGCGGGTTCAGGAGGACATTCCTCTGTTAGGACAAATTTGTAGTCTTCGCAGACCAATAGTATGTTCATGTTACTTTTCCACTTAGCATAGTTATCACCGTCTAATTTTTCAGTCGCTAGTAGTGTGATAATGGGATTCGACATATTGCTGGAAATAAATAGAATATTCATCTAATCAATTTATGTGCATGAATATCAAGGCATGTTAATTTTGACACAATTAAATATGATGCATGAAGCACATGAAAAATACATAAATCATGTTTTAATATTAGGTGCCAATTATAATCTAATTTTCCACATATAAAGTGTACCTTTGGGTAGTCAAGTTATATGCCGATTAGACCGAGACTCTTCTCAATTAATAAATGTAGTCAAAATATCTCATATTTTCATATTTATTAACTACCGTTATTTTTAGTCAAAATATAACCAACAGATTTGATTATATTTTATGAGTGTAACCCACCGTTTCAGATCCCATAGACTTAACTCCGGATTACTACCTTTGGGTAGTCAATTCAGAAATACATCCTGAAATCTTATCTCTAGGAAGCCAACCTTGTTATTGATCCGGCAAGAACACTCTCCTTTAGGAGGGCGATTCAATGTCACCGCAAAGCCCCTTTCTGGATCTCACGTTGTTGCGCTAACGGTGGAGACTAGTGGGTCGCGTTGTCATACAACCCTCTCCCACTCATTATTTTGCAAATATGTATTTTGTTTGAAAAAACATCTCATGATTTTCAAATCGAAAAATAAACAATTTATTTTTCAGATATGTGAAATTCCAAAATTTAACTCTTAAATTCAATTTCACATGTAACATTATTTTGCAAATCAATTTTGCAACTTAAATCAATTTAATCATATTAAATCGATTTTCAGCGCATGGTTCTCATTTTATTTTATTTTTCTAAAACACTTTTATAAT